ATTAAAATAGAGTATGAAATGTTGCAGAAAGATTTCATCACACTAAATGATTTAAAGATGAAAGGCAGTTGAGATTCAATGTCAGCAGACACAATGGAGTACACAAGGGAACAATAGTCCTATTTTTCTAAATGAAGAACAAGAATTTTCAGACACTGTACCTAATTCCTCAGAAAGATATCCTTAATAATTATTGCAATTAAAACAAAAAAAAAAGTACATACAGTTGAGCCATTATTCTTGATAGTTCTTACAGCATTCTTGACGAATTAGGTACAGCGACATTGTTCCCAAAATTTGTTTACTCTGAAGTTTGTGACATTTGATTTCAGCATTACAAAAGGGTGCTTGATGGTGTTTTTTCCCCCCCCACACTTCTATAGAAAACATGGAAGATGAGGGGAGGGGTGTATAAATCTGTGCCCTTAAGAATTATTTTGAATAATTACCTAGAAATTAATCCAAAGCAAAATATCATAGTGCGTTGTGGGAACGGATGGCTCAGCTGCTGCTTTAGTGCTACATGGAACCCCGATTACCTGGTTTGAATGAATGATACAGTGCAACTAGAAAAAAGGTGGTTGATAGGTTTTGACCAGAGATACAGGGTGTCTTCTGTAAGGACCAAGATATTTCCTAGCTGTAAACAGAGAGGACAGTACTTATGCAGGAAGCATACAGACTTCTAAAACAGTGGAAGGCGTGGAGGAGATAGATAGGAAGTAGTACAGTCTTTTCTTAAGACAGGAACAATGACATTGTTCCACAACAGGCAGAGAAGGAAGGATAGGGGTTTTGTTTCACTTGGTTGGTTTCTCTTAATGAGGGTATAATTTATTTAGGGATATCACCAGAGGAGGTGTTGTACTTTGTGTATGAATTCTGGCCATAAGAATGAGTGGTTATATTGGGAAAAATATGTTCATATTGATTGTTACACTCTTGGCTGCCATTCAGGGTTTCTGCAGATTAGACACATCTTTGTCTTCATCTGGTATGATCATTCAGTTTTAAGTTTTGCAGTTTATTAGTCAAGCTTCAATCCTTTAAAAGTAATGCTTTTAATTATTGCTTGAATGAGAGCAAATTTCAACTGGAGTGAAAAAACCACCAACCAACCAACCATATAAACCAAAAACAGAACAATGAAATAAATTGTCCAATCTGTGTTTCCCAGTTAATATACATGTGGATCACTGTGAAGGAAATATTATTTATTTAGCTCTATGTTCATAAAAGACTGAAGTTAAAGTAGCACAGCCCACAGTCTTTTCGATGCTACTTTCATAGTAGAGTATTTATTGAATTATAGTATTTCAATGGATATAGCTGCCATAATTTGTCCAGTAAAATATTTATGGACATGTTCCGTGCAATTGAACTTAGTATATGTTATAATGTTTTGGGGTTTTTTTCCGTTTGTTTTGTTTGTTTGTTTTGTTTTGTTGGTTTTTGTTTGTTTGTGGTTTTTTGTTTTGTTTTGGGTTTGGTTTTTTTTTTAGGATTAAGCACCTTTATTTATCATTATAACATCATCTCCTCTGCTCCCCAAACTCCATTTGATTTCCTGATCAAGAAATGAAATACAGAGTTGTTCCTTTAGAAATATCATTTGAATACTGAAGCTGTGTGGAAAGATGATGTACAAAATGATGTCTATTTCTGATATGACCATGGTTTCCTGCTTAAGGATTTTACTGATTTGTTTTGTTCCTACTGGAAAAATAAGTTGCAGTGAGGCTCTGCTTGTGCTGGGCCAAGACGGCCGTGGGAGATGGCTCTGAGTTGCCTGTTCAGCTTTCTAACAGGAATTTCTGAAGCATGGACTTGCTCTCCCCCTTGTACTGGGCTTAAGCAGCATCTGGCAGGGCAGTGTGACGTGAGAAGCAGGAGAGTTAAGTGTGACCATTGCCTGCAGTCAGCGGCCGCTCTTTGGGAGCATTGTTGGGACTCCAGCCAGGACTAACTGGACTGGCACAGCACCAGAACAACAGATGAGCCAAAGGAACAAAATCAGTGTGCTTTGCACATGTGAAGAAGTGCAGCCAGCCAAGTCATTTTTCTCTTGGTGTGACTGAAAGGAATTGGTACAAGAGATATAAACTGATGCAGTAGGTAGAGCTAGAGTGAGCACTGAAAGGGAAGAAGTTACACTGTATCCATGGTGTACACACATCAAGGGACCAGACCAGTGACTTCATTTTAACACCTGAACCAAAGAAGGCAGGTTCAGGCTCTCTGCCTTGTGCTAGTATCATGACTTTCATGAAAACAAGAATAACAATAACCCATACAACTACTCATGATCTGACAAAAAACTAATTTCTGAAAACATGGTCTGTAATATCCAGAGGTCTACTCATGTAATAGCAAATAGGTAGATGCTCTTACTTGTATTAAAATTGAGTGTATGAACATGATACGTGTTAACACAAGTGGTGTCTCTGTTGGGACATAGATAATGGTGCTCCTCTACAATTTTCATGTAAGATCCACAAAACTACTTGTTGCTTTTCAGCTGTCAGGTATTATAAAATGAACCGTAAAAGATGTCCACAATCCTGTATGTAGTCTAGACTCATATACTGTTGGCATAATAATCCTATACATGTTAAAACTTGTGTTTTCTCTGCATGTTCTAGGCAGGTATCCAGAAATGAATTAATTTTGCCATATAGATCTGCTGTATAATTTAGAGGAAGCTTCAACTGTTACATCATTTATGTACCTTTCTAGACCTAGTATTCAGTTTTAAATTTCTTAGTTTGGTTTGTTCTAGGATTGTTTTCTTAAGACACTACATCCTAAGTAATTGCTGATTTTTTGCAGTTCCCAAAGTTGGTAAACAATCTGTTCAGCATCTGAAATTCAGCACATTTATCAAATGAGTTTTATGATAGTTTAATTTTGTGGTTCTATTTTGGAAGCATATTCTTATTAGTATCAAAGGAAAAGCAGTACATTTGTCTTCCATAATATTTGGTTAGTTCTGTTTATAGTCCTTGGATTATAGTAAGCATGATATGCATATTTGCTCCAAAGTATGAAGAAGTATAAAGTAAGTTTTCAAAATGGGAATTATTATGCTTTTTGGCACTTACATATAACCTGCTGCAGCTGTCTTCACACACAGTACAATTTGTCATCTTGTGACCTGATCTGATGAGAAACAGATTTGCTATTATGTTTAGCATTTTCCCAGATGGACAGAATAAACTAAAACAGGAAAATACTAGCATTGAGACATAGCAATCACTGTCATAGCTGATGACTGAAAGTAATTAAGAGGATGATAATTTGAAAAATTTTCTGACCATAAACGTGTATGATAATAGTAGCAGATCCATAGCGAACTTGCACCTAAATAGTGAATTTTTTTACAGTATGAGAGCATATAAGTGAAGAAAATGATAGTCAGCTGCTTTTACATTTTTATGAGGTGCACTTGGAATTTAGACTACAAACCTTTTTGAGTGTATTTAATAAAAGAAAGTAGTTTGAAGACGCACTGATCATGCTGTGTTTAACAGTTATTTTTAAGAGTTGGATGTTAATTGACTTCTCTTTTTATCACATATTTCCAGAGTTTTGGACAAGCCTGTTATAAACATGGTTACTGCAGTGGAGAGCAGAATACTTATCCCTTTTTCATAATAAAATAATTAACAGCATTCATAAAAATAATGAGAATAACATTATAACATGTAATACTCTATGTAATCTGTAGTAAATATTTATTAAACTTAACAAAATTACTTCAAAGCTACAGTGTATACTGGAGCGTAGATTGAGTTATTTGGACTGATGTTTTCATAGCATCCATGTTCTCACTGGACCGATAGCCTTGATAAAATATTGATATAAACACATTTTGCAGGAGGATAAGTAGTCAAAACCACATCAATACTGACAGAGTTCAAGTTTATCACAGACTTGTCATACCCTTTTGAATCCCTGAATTCTACATGATCTTAATTTCTCCACTCTTACAGTTGTTATTACCTGATAACCAGAGGTCCAATTTTTTTATTTTCAAAATAAGTATTGTGCAAATACCAGTAGATTTACATAAGTTTTCTTTTTGTATGGCTTATGTGTGGGGTTTTGTTTAAATATTGATACTCCAAACCATTAAATTTCCCAAACTAAATATTTTTCCATGGTAGAAGGATATAAAGATAGAGATTTTCAGTTACATTTGTATGACCAGCTAATTGGCTGGTTAGTTTCTTAGGTCTTTATTACTCAACAGTGCAGTCATTTAATTTGAGTTTCTCCTCTTGAGTGTTTATGAGAACAACACAAAGCTATGTGATCAGTATTTCTTCTTCAGAAAAGGTGTTCAGATTTACATGAACCCATGAAATTGCCCGTGGACAGCTTGCAGACTGCCTCGTGGACCTGGGTTTTGCTACAGTTTTAGCTATTAGGTTCCTTTTCATACAAGTCAAGTTGAACTCTAGTCAATGGTTATGTCGCTAAGTGGTAACTATTTGCTTTTCTCCCCTAGTTAATACCAGAACTGCTGCTGTTTTGGCTGGTGTGGGACAAAAGGTGTATGCGTGATTTGCTTTTCCTCTGGGTGTCTGTTGTGCTTTTTCATCTCTCCAAGATCAAGAGCTCTACAATAGTGCTTCTAAATTGATATTTTTCTAATGTTGTTTTGTATGATTAAAATTATAACATTTCATAGCTGTTTCTTACATGAAAAGGAATGAGCTGATAGGATCTTCAGCAAAAAGGCTTAAAAGATTCAGAAAACAATGAAATGGACTTCTGTGCAGGGAGCTATTCACATTTCTGTGTAATGTCTTTGGATGCATTCATTTGTTTATGGAGCAGCTTAGAAAATGTTATTGAAAATACCGCACATGACAAAGGAGAATTGAGTTTCATTATTTGAATGTAATTATCTCACACTGTGTGAAACAGCCTTTTCTTGTCAAGAGCAAAGTAAAAGTGTTAAGCCTATTATAGCATCTCTTTTGATGTTTTTGTAGGATGGAATAAAAGATGAATGCTCGGTGCTGAAGCTGCAGCTGAAGGAGAGAGATGAACTCATAGCCCAGCTTCGTGAGGAGCTGGTAAGCAGGAGCAGCAATCTTTTTTGTGGTTTATTTGTTTTTGTTTTGTTGGAGTTTTTGTTTGTTTGTTTTTGTTGTTGTTGTTGTTTTTGTTCATGGTTTTGAGTTCATTTACCTGATAATGTCACTCCAAGAGCAGAAATTAAAGAAGTACAATTTCACACCCTCTACACAGTAGCTAGCCTAAGGCTGTGTTAATCATATGGATGAACACTGATAACACTGACTGTACATTTCCAGGGACTTGTCAGCCTCTGAAGTGGCTATCTAGATTCACTGCAAGTAGAAGTTTCTTTGGAAAGATTGTGTTGACAGTTGTCTTGATCAGAGGCAGATTAAGTAGCACAGCACTGTATGCATATGCTAGAAATCTTGAAGGGCTATGCACATGCCTGATAAATTGTCAGTACTTCTCCTCTGAACTGCTTTTCACATCCTCAAGATTGTTCAGTAGAAAATGAAATGCCTTTTTTTCTCCATAATGGTTGTCTTTACATAAAATAATAAATATTCTTACATTTGCTGAACCTTTCCTTAGCATATGGGCTACTAATTCTTGACTACTCCCATTTTAAGGATAGACAGAATACTTTTCCAGTGACTAAAGGAAGTAAAATACCTAATATAGAAATTAAAAAAATTAAATACATGAAAATGCATTTTATTATTCTATTAGGGCTTTATTAACAGAATTTAAAAATTTCTTTATTGATGGAACATAGATGTCTTCAGTATTTTTAATAAAAGAAGAGTAATTTTTTACCTCCTTGCTCACAGAGAACTGAAATGTTTACTCGGCAGAGAAAGCATGTAGGGTCACCATGTACAGGAAGGCATTCAGCACATGCATTCCTTCCATGAAAGCTGCAGGTGTGCAGCCACCTAAGATTTTGTCTTAGCACCCTTTGGGATATAAGATTGTTTCCCTAATTAGATCTTAATTAACTGATCTACCTTAGGGCCTTTTTGTGCTTTTCTATCTTATGCCTCATGGCTAGCTCAGAACTGGAACAGAATTAATTCAGGTCTATCTATTATTGCATCTTTTATATACTCACTAAAAACACCAGTATACTTTTATGCCAAATAGCTCATAAAAAGTGAAATTTCAAGTTATATGTGAAAAATGTAATGCTACTCAAGGATGAAAGATCTATTCGCTATCATAACATCTACAAAATAAATACAGGTCATCAATATTCTTTGTTTCATATTTGGCTACATTAAGAAATGATCTAGTGTGTAATTATTATCTAAAAATAAATGACAAAATGGGACACGGGGTACATCAAGCTTCTGCACAGTCCTGGAGCATTAATTTTATATCAGTCTAGTTCAGAACATATGCTATTTAACTGGTTGACAGTTTTGTCAGTGTGAAATTACCCTGTGTTGATACAGGGAGCTGTAGCTCATTTGTTGTTAACTGTTGTCAAAGTTCATCTGTATATATGTCAGTCTCACAGGGAACTGTCATAATAGACAAAAAACTATAACTTCCTAGGGCTATGAAATAAGAGTTTCTGTATGATTGAAAGTAAGTGTCACAGATTTAATCCGTGATTAATTGACTTGAGTTTTGACACTCTAGGACTCGTAAAAAGGAATGAGTGCAGGTGGCATCCCTGAGACCACATTTAGTCATTTGAAATTAAGTTTTGAAAGGACTCAATATATCTGATTTACTCCTATTGTACTAAATAAAGACAGATTGGAAGGTGAATATGACTGAAACTACTTTTAGTTTAGAGAAAAAAAAGTAGTGGGCGACCCTAGGATTGGAAAAAAAAGATTTTTATTATTTTGTCTGAGATGCCTAAGTACAGTCATAGATGATTTGTTTTTTTGTTTTCTACTGTGTCTTCTGCAATAAAATTTATTTGTAAAATGGTGGGGGATTGGTTTGTTGAAGGGTGCAGTGTTGTAAGACATGCAAGGATTTCTAGAGCAGCTAGAATTAGTGACAGTCCAGTAAAAGAGCTCACTGAAAACGCACTTAGAAGTTGTGCTAGAACTAAACGTTTTGACATTTGTCATGGGATCATTGAACTAATGTCTACTTATCGAAGGGCCTCAGCAATCTGGCTGGGGAAGTACCCACTCAGCTTAGACACAGATGCTGTCTAAGGTTAGGTGGCTATGGAACAGCGATTTCCAATGACATTTTTGATCTTGAGCATCTAAAAAAGCCTTAATATGTTCACAATTAGCCCCTGTTGTTTCCCTGGTTAGCCTGTATAAAGCCAGTGATGCAAGCTGAAGTCCTCTGAGGAGAAGCAGGGCTTTGATTCCTGTGGCCACCAGCACTTGCACTGCACATCCAGTGCTCTCTTCCTGGAGGTGCCCTGGGCTCTACCACCATGGCACTTCAGGAGGTTTGCTCTTGATATGTGTGAGGTGTTTTTAGGAGCTGCATGCAGTGGACTGTCCAGGAAAAGTGTAAACTCTCTTTTCAGAGCTGTTAGAAATGGATTAAATTTAAAATGATTGCTAGAAAATTCTTATAATGTTTTCTTTGCTTACATAAAATTGGCTGAAAATGATACAAAGCACACTTTAATATTCTGCAAATGCTATAGTTATTTATGTGTTTGTAAGACTAAATATTCAGAAAGTGAATTTTACAAAAGTTAAGAGCAGTAATTTTTGACTAGTGAAACTGTACGTGTTTCCACGTTTACAAATTATTACAGGCTTAGCACTTGATGGATAACTACCATTTTTGTTCTTGTATCTTAGGGCAACCCATGTTCCATTGCCATTCTGAATATGGAAATATAAAATTTGTAAATACAACATACCGATCTTGAAATTGTGACATCGTGATGCTAGTTCAGAGATAGCACATAAAAATTGATTTGAGTGGGAGTCAGTTTTGTACTTCTTGAGAAGTACATGAAAATCTGTACTTTCCTTGTTGTTTTCCATGAAGTTGAATGCTTGCATGTAGATGTAAACCCCTTGGTTAATCGGTTTTACTGCAGAACTCTTCAGCTAACTTAAAGTGAATTGCAGGTAAATTTTGACTCTCCAGAAGCTTTTGTTTCTTTCTTTTCTCTCATTTTTCTGGAGTTTTGTAGTTATCATCCCTTCTCCCCTTGGATATTTTTTTTTAACTTTCAAATACTGTAAAGAAGTATTTCTGCCTCATTTGAGTGCATTATGAAGAAGACTTTGAATTGAGCTGAGGGTGAAAATGTCAAGGGGGAGTGTGAGCTGACTTGCTGTAAGCTGATGAAGGCTCAAAACACCTGCAACTGTTCTCTCTTGTAATTATTACCTAGCTTTTTAAGGGAGAAAAAGGTTAATACTTCACGAATGAAAATAATGGTTTAGATGCTTAGCTACAATACCAAGGTGGAAAGGATAAAATGCAAGGAGCTATCACCTACCTCTGAGCAAACAGGAAAGCACACATAAAAGTAGTCTCTTGTGAAATTTTTGTTTGTTCTCTTTTTAGTGATTATTTTGGATTGACTCTATTGGTCATCAGAAGGGTGTCTGTTTTTCTTTGGAGAAATAAATAGAGGTAGTCAGGGAGGTGGAATAATTCCTCTAAGCTCCCATTATCTCCTGAAAAATACCTGCTTCAGAAATTGAAGGAGAGTTTGTCTTCCAAGATGTCAGGTGCTAAACCTACTCTAAGTGTCTCCCTGTAAAGATAAACCTCAGTAGGAACTGAAAATTTGGGTTTGAAACATCGCTTTGTCTCAAAGCTCTACTCATTTATGAAAATATTATCTTACCTAGTAAATCAAAGAAATTAAGTGTATGCATTCTGCAGGGTTTGGTAATGGAGTCATTCATGTGCTCTTATTTTCTGTTGTATTTTTCTCTTTTCTTTCTCCCTGCTCCACTCCCCCCAAATTAACCGAAATAAATGAATGTCTTAGTTTTCATTGGGCACAAAGAAGTTTGAAACCTTGGCTGTCTCATGCCCAGTGCTACCTGCAACTACATCTTTACGTACTTTTTCCCAAATCGATCTTTTTGCACTGCAGTGTGAGCACTTAGAATGACTTTAAGCAGAAAATATTTTCATGGTATATTGGCAAAAATAACTGACTGCTGTTTACAGTAACATTTATTCTATTGCTGTCACTGGTACAGCGACATTCACGCTGAAAAATGAGTGTTAACAGAATTATCCTTTCAACCTTGATTCCCTGTGTAACTTGAGTCATGTGTCTTGTGCCACAGAAATAAAAAATGTAAGGAGGCAGTTTGAGTGGATTCTGAGTAGAACTGGAGGCAAAGTTAGGTCAGGAAATTAATCCCCCTTATGGCCCAACTGTTGGAGATACTTTTCTGCTGTGGAGGTGGCTCTTTATCAAGTATTGGCACTTTTTAAATTTATGGAATAGCTAGATACAGTGCTAGCTAAGTGGGCTTTACCTCAAGCTGTAGAAGTTATTGCTTTAGGACTGGACAAGACACAGCTGACTTTTTTTTTTTCCTTTTCAAATCATAAACAAGCTCTACTTCCTTGCCCAAACTTTATGTTAAATGATTTGAGGAGGTGGGGGGCTTGTGCTGTACTTTTTGGGAGATGTGGGTGGGTGGTTGTTTTTGGGAGGGAAGGCAGGATGTTTTTTTTTTGTTTTGTTTTGGTTGGTTGTTTTTTTTTTTTTTGATTTTGTTGTTTGGGGATTAGTGGGGGTATGTTTGTTTGTTTGTTTTGTTTCGGTTTCCTAAATATTGTGTATACCTGGAGGGCAAGAATGATGGCAAACTTAACTGTTTTCTCTAGATTGATTTCAATAATGGGCAATTAGCCAATTAGCTAGGTATTTTGAAGTATCGTGAAGATGAGTACTTGTTATTCAGCTTTGAAGTGTAACAGAAAGCCTTAGATGGGTTTGAATCCTGCTGATGAACTTTTTATGAGAGACACTTAGGTTAAGTGTAAAAATCACCTTATGTAGTTATGCCAGTGCTGTTCCCTTCAATTTTAGTCTTAACATCACAACTTGTTTTGACAGGCGCAAAGAATGAAACTT